CCTCGGTCCGATGGACCACGACGACCGAAAGTAGCGTATAATTGCAATACTACTTGCAAAAATTTAGTGACATTTGTTTAATAGACTATTTTATCTGCAGTATTGCGCCCTACCCTACTGCCTGACCGGCGTTCTTCTGATGCTCGTAAAAATTCAAAATATTCTATAAGGTATAGCCCATGGCTTAAGCTCCTTTATCATCATTCTCGGGCGAAGGTCTTCACGGTCTTTCCTACGGGATTATGTGCGAACCGCGACGATCCTTTCAGCGATCGTTGTCGAAACGTTTGGCCCTAGTCTAGGCGGCCCCTAAGCTTACGCTGTTACATAAAAAGACTTGAATGCCTAAATTTATTCCTTTTTTATTACAGGCAACAATGAGGGAATTTTATATACCTTAAAAAATAATACGCTGCCTTGAGAAAGGATTGCGCTTTGAGGACATATTTCAGTGGCACCTCTCGCCTCATCTCCGTAGACACACAATGAAGCTGCGCACGAAGATATCCAAGCTCTGCATTGTCCACTCTGCATTCTTGACGCAACGGGCCCTACAACCGTGGAGAAAACTTCCCGCAATAAGTCGTGGAGGCTATGTCTCTAAAGCAGTTCAAACGACGCTTGGATAAGTACATGTGTCCCCTGTTCTCGCTCGATTGTATGAACGCGAACTAACGGCAAACGAACTCCAAAGTTATTTATAAAAATAATGCTACTCAATATTTGTCAATACTATTTTATTAGTGAAAATTTTCACGCGTGCCTGTGCAAATGTATCTGACGCACCGGCATGTAATCAATAGGGTTTTCAAAAGCTTTGCTATTACCGTCACCTAATAAACTAAACTAAATTAGCTATATAGCGAGCAGAATATGACCGAAATCGGCGCTTTTGTGAACGCCACTTCCAACCGCGACTTCCGACATGGACAGTCTGAGAGCGGCTAAATAGGCTGCCTCGAATCCACATCAAGCGATTACCCTAAAAACAGTTCGGCTCAGTTTGTGCAGGAGTCGTTGGTGTGAGACACTATCGAATGTTTTCTTGGAGTAAATGTAGACCATATGGGACAGGTTTCCTCCAGCAACTCCCCGAGCCTGCCGTTCCAAACAATAGAACAATTTCTTCACGCAAGGTATACGTTATCCATGATACGCATCAGATAATAGGCTGTGCTGCCCTAAGAATTACATCACCTCCCGCTTTATTACGTTTTCCATAATTTTGCAGCAGATCAAATGAGGCTGATTGGCCTGTAATGGTTTGCAGAGACCTTTCTGTCACACTTGTAAAACGATGTTATCCGTGCAGATTTTCAATCGGCAGGTAAAGAGCCGGCTTAAAACGAGGATTGGAAAAGCTGACAAAGCGGCTTAGCTAGTTCCTCAACGAGCTTTTTCGGTAACCTGGGCGGAATGTCATCGGGACCACGTGATTTCGACTAATTTAGTGCCATCAA